AGATATTTGTAAGTATATATTAGGTCCCCTCGCAGCCTTCTCTTCTTCAGGCTGAACAAGCCCAGCTCCCTCAGCCTTTCCTCGTAGGAGAGATGTTCCAGTCCCCTCACCATCCTTGTAGCCCTCCGCTGGACTCTCTCCAGTAGCTCTTCATCTTTCTTGAACTGGGGAGCCCAGAACTGGACAGAGTACTCCAGATGAGGCCTCACTAGGGCAGTGTAGAGGGGAAGGAGAACCTCCCTCGACCTGCTGGCCACACTCCTCCTAATGCACCCCAGAATGCCATTGGCCTTCTTGGCAGCCAGGGCACACTGCTGGCTCATGGTTAACCTGTCATCCACCAGCACACTCAGGTCACTCTCCTCATCTTGAGATGCCTCCTGCTTGCTGTTCTCCTTCTCCCTCCATTTCTCTTTGGAAATGCATAAATCCATCACAGACCCAACCATGACTGTATGTTAGATGTTGTAGGTGGAGGTACGGGGGTTCAGCTCTTCAAGAGAGGGTCCCCAAAATGACCCTGTAGGAGCGTACTGAAGTCCACTGAGCAGCTGGTGTTTGCCGTACCAAATCGCAGCTTATTGCTGAAGTAGCCTCTGCTGGGAAGGAGCTCAGTCAGAGCCTTCGGCACCCCGGGGCCGGGCAGGAGTTGTTTTGGGGATGGGTTTTGTGCAGACCTCTGCCTGCTGGTGCAGCTGGGCTAGCCTGGCCACCAGCAGTGCAGTGCTGAGGACAGGCACTGGCTCTCCATCTAGACCCAAACCACAGTCAGGGCTTTGTCAGGAGCCTCAGTGTAGCCCCATGAACACATCAGGGCTCGAAGCTGAAAGGGAAGCTTTAAGTGCACTTTAAATTCATTGCGCAGTGTCTGATGCCATTTGAGGTAGATATGTATAACAGCTGCCTTGGATTATGTTTTCACTGGAGTGGTTTTTCAATCCACAGTGTGATATTGTATCTCTCATAGCTGTTTGTGATGACCACGACCCCTGGAAGACTTAAAGTACCAACGCTTTTTTTTTTTTTTTAATTTGAATGAATTTGTTAGCCTGTAAACATTGCAAGTGGAAAGCCCTTCTGGCCTGCCATAGATGCTGGTGATAGACGGCCATACAGAAGCAGTGAATGAAATGGTCCATTTAATCATTTTTTAACACTGTTGCAAATAAAACACCTTTTCGTTTCCATGGCAGATGCTTTCCACTTATCACGAATTGATGATGTTGAGTTGATCTATATTTTCTCCCTCTTCTGTTTCTCTTTTTTGTAGGCCAGATGATGTGATGCTGAAGCGCACCCATGATGAGACTGTCCTCTTGCACTGCTTCCTCTGGCCTCTGGTTACATTCTTGGTCGGAGTCCTCATCGTGGTCCTGACTATCTGTGCCAAGAGCTTGGCTGTCAGGGCAGAGGCAATAAAAAAGAAGAAGCATTTGTAAAGGGCAAGGCTCCTGTTGGAAAAGAAAAACCTGCAGGAAGGTGTCAAGTGGGGCAACCCCGCAGGTTTGCGGGACGCCCAGCTGCACCTCCTTCCAGTGTCTCATCTGATGCTGTAGTTGCTCTTGCCTCAGGATTATTCTCGGGAGACTGCCCCACGAAATGTCAGCTAACTGCTTCTTCTGCTATGACAGTAAATAAATATATTTTACCAAAAAAAAATCTACACTGCACCAAATATGCTGTGAGCTGTTCGTCCCGAACAGCAGCTACCCAGGTCCTAGCAGCATCGAGAGACAGTTTATGAAACCCCTGATGTTGCTCGTTTCAACTCCACAAAGTGATCTTTATTATTGTTTAATATTAAATATTTCAAATATTTACTTTATGATAGACTGTATTCCCAAAATAAAGTTTGGTTGTTTTGGGGGGGGGGTTTAACCATTGTTTTGGTTTTGTTCTTTTAAAAAAAGCTTTAAGGCAAAAATGACACTGCTGATTTTGGTTTTTTTCACTGTGCAGAACTTCATTTAAGAAGTCAAACTTTAACTTCTGTCTAGATGAAATTGTTCATCATCACCTGTTCATTATGAAGAAATGTAGAAACCTCTCAGAAATACTTCTCAAAAAAAAAGAAAAAAATATTGCAAAACCTGATTAAATACTGGATCTAATTTTACTGCCTTGGTGGTATTCAGTCCCTACAGTTTTTATTGTCCCCTTTCAGTTACCCTCTTCAACAAAACGCTCTCCAGCTGTAAGGAGCAGGGATCTGGAGTGGTTTTACACAAATATGTTTTACCAGCATTTGCCCCAAGTAGCGCCTGAGCACTTGCTGAGGGGAGCCTGTGAGCTGTGGTGTGATGCATGTCACCGGGCTCCAGGGATGGCCTGAGAAGGACAGCAATCTTTGTAGAGCTGTGGGTGTTTGCTGCTGAACTTGCCCTTCCCAGTCACACCAGCTCTGTGCATGGTCCCTCCAAGGGGATGCTCCAGAAAACTTGAGGCAGGCTGGGCATGGCATCTTGCTGGGTCACCTTTCTCTTCTCGTCTGTGTATGATGGGAGCACCAGCCTTAGTCCCCTTGCTCAATGCAAAGATTTCCTTGCCTCATAGCATCATTGAATGGTTTGTGTTGGAAGGGGCCTTTAAAGGTCATCTAGTCCAACCGCTCTGCAATGAGCAGGGATGTCTTTGACTAGATCGGGTTGCTCAGAGCCCCATCCACACTGACCTTGAATGTTTTCAGGGATGGGGCATCTACCACCTCTCTGGGCAATCTGTTCCAGTGTTTCACCAACCTCATCGTAAAAAAATGGCCTTAGAACACAGTTTCATGGAGCATGTCTGTTGCAAGCTGTAGTCAGAGGCTGAGACCAGCATAGCTTCGTGGCACGCATCCTTGCCCCCGCAGGGCTGTGCACCCCGGGGACCAGCTGTGCAGCTTTGCAGGGCTGGCACGCAACAGAGACGAGAAGCCACGTGACTCAGTCAGGAAAGTAAGTCTCTCAGCGTGTGATTACCGGCAAATCATTTTAATCTACATCATTAACAATTCTGCAATTCTAACCATACTGTTCATTGTACTAATCTCTGATATTCTCGGTATTATGTTTAAAATACCTTGTGTTTCACTGTGCTTTTAGCACACAGGAGAGGTATTTCATGACGATGAGCAAAGCTAGATCTGAAGGCCTGAAATCTTTCTTGGCACAAGGCACAGCAACAAACCTACTGGTATTGCCCAGTCTCCATCTCAGATTAATCATGTTGTGTGTTTAAGAATTGATTTCCATACAGCTTCTTATTTTGTAAACTTGTACACGTTGTGGGACAACGTGGTGCCCAGTGATGCGGGCATCGGGGTGAATGGAGGTCCTTCACTGCTCCCCTGCTTACTCGCTATATGACTTTGGAGAGTTGTCTGGCGCCGGTCCTCACCAGGACAGCTGTTCCTTCGAAGGAAGTTACGGAAATGTGTGGAACTTGATACTTCTTGGCTAGTATGAAAGATCCACTTGGTGTTGGTTGCACAGGTTCAAGCACTTCCAGTTCTGTGGATGAAAAAGGCTACTTCCACGAAAGATTTCCAATTCTCTGTGTTAAACCTCACCCCTTTGGAGGTGCCTGTTGTCAGGCTCACACAGATACCCTCTGTCTCCACCTGCCAAAAGGAATGGCACTGGATATACTGGATGAAGAGAGGTTGTGAGCTCCCAGCCCATCAAATGGAAGCCGGCTTCTGGCGGTGCTGTCCTGCAAAGGACACTGAGTTTCGTTTCGCTCATGTCTCGCTGCCGTGGGCCAGCTTGCATCCTCTGCGATTCTCATGCCCCAGCAGCCCACCCGCAGAAACATTGCGCACATAAGTCTGGTTTGGGGGATTGGTTACTTTATTTTTTTATATATTATTTTTTCACAATCTGCAAACCACAGAAAGCTGCCACTCTGTGGTGGTCTGGTTATCTGGGTAAGGTTGTGGCAAGTTCACCTCCTCTGTTTCCTCCTGGCAACTTCTTACAGGTAAGTAGAAAACCCCTGACTTTTTGCATATATACATCCTTTGTTTTCTGAAGGGAGAAGGAAATACACGGCGACACAGATTCATCATGGATTCTCAGGCCAGTAGCTTGGGGCTCATAAATCCAGATTAACAAAATCCTCTCTAGCTTTGCTCCAGAAGCTTTTGTGACTGAATCGTACAGCTGGTTCTCCGAGCAAAAGGCAAGAAGCGAATTGAGTTGATGCAGCTCGCTTGATCAGCAATTGTTATCTTTAAATATGTTAGAAATGCCATTTCCAAAGGCCTCTGAAACTAAGTAATGATAACAAAGATGATATTAAATCATTTTGCAGAGGATTAACGTCCAAAGTTAAACATCTAAATTGGCATGCAAAAACAGGTAGGAAGTATCTCCCTGGCTTGTCAGTATATGATGCTAAGGGGGAAAAAAAGAAATCCTAATATTCATTCTTCTGTCCCAGCCTGCACCTTGCTGATTTAGACATGTCTTTCTAATCCCCACAGTTAATCGTGGAAGCTGGGGATTTCCTTCTAGTGGATTATTCACTGATTTCCTCCTTGGCTTTGTGGCTTTGCAGTTTTTGTGGCGTGTTCTCTGAAGCATATTTGCAGCTAGAGTGGCTGCTTTTTTCCAGGGCCATCTGCAGAGTTGACTTTTGCATTTTATTCAATATTTATATGCTATTGCTCTAAGGGATTTTGTTCCGTCATGCTGTCTGCTGCTTTGCTCTGGTGAGATCTGCTTTCTCTTTCATGTAGTACAATTAAATCATTTTGTTTATACAGTATCTTTTTCTGTTAGCTCTTAGGCTCATTTTAAAAGTTGAAGTAATTTGGTTTTTTGTTGCAGTTCTCCTTCTTTGTACATTTCAGTGTTGTCAGTAAAAGATGAGGTTTCACAACACATCAGAAAATTTAGCTACTGATCGAGGAGCTTAATGCAATGCTTGGAGCAGATGAGGGATAGCATGGGGGCATTTTTAAAGATCGTTACCTGTCATTTCTGCTGTAAACACAGCCCTTTGACAGGGGTCCAGGCTTTTACCAGCTGGGCTCTTCAGCAAGCACCGCAGGACACAAGCTCAGAGGCACAGTGGAGAGGTAGCGCAGGGCTCAGCTTCCAAACTCGTGCTTCCAGGTCTGTTTCAAGCGATTTGTCCTAGATCACAGCAAAGATGTCTGCGAGGCGTGCAGAGCTCTCCATGCATCTGCTGCCTGGCCTCAGCCCACTGCTGCCCATCGCAGCCCTGCTGCTGCTGCCCGCAGGGCTGATGGGAGCCCCCGGGAGCCCTTCGCTCCCGATCCAGAGCTGTGGTCTTGTCCTTGCAGGAGCAGGGGTGGCTACAGAGGGCCATCTTGGCTCATTTCACACACGACACAGAAGGATCCATCCAGTGTGTGATCCAGTCAGAGTTCTGCTGGGAAAAAGAGAAAAGACTCGTTAATGTTTAAAACCCTTTCACAGATAAGTTGTAGGAACTAAGCACCCTTGAAGAAGAGTCTAATGCAGGTCACTAGGGATTTGGGCCTTGAAAAATCATTTTAAACTGGGCAGTTGACACCTGTGTGGGTCTGGTAGGATGCCGGGACACTGTGGATTGACTGGTAAAAGAAGGAACGTGCTGTGCAAGCGTCTTTACTCAGCACTGCAAATACAGGGGCAGCCTGCTGAATCTGTGTTTCTGCAAACTTTAGCTTAAATAGCCAACAGTATGTTAAAGCCAAGAATAAACATGTGGAAGAGGAGACATCTGGAGGAGTCTTTAGTAAGAAAAGAGAGAAACTCAGGCTATGGCTCATATTTAGTTAATCAGATGAAATGAAGTGCAGCAGAATTCCTAATTAGGAAGCCTATTGTATCGTGTGAATATTTTCTTGCAGTCCCTGACAGAAATCCTGTAGCTGGAGTTATCGAAAAATCTGCGTGTGATTTCTCCGAGAATCAAAAGCTGTTTTCTTTTTTCTCAGCATGGAACAGCTGTTATTCCTTCACTAACTTTCAATCAGAAACCAATTCCTTCCCTTTCTGGCATCTTAAGAGGTTGCTACGCTGATCTGCCAAGCTAACAATCTTTGCTGCAGAAAGCATGAGTGGGAAAACCTCTGGGGGAATATGTGTGCAATTAATCATATTGCCTTGTCAGGTCACAGACCCACCGAATGAATCAACCCCAAAGACTGATATTTGAGAGGCTGTGTAATTTTCTTTCTGGTTTGATATGCTAGTGTGAATGCCGTCATTATCTGCACTGTGTTTAATTCGCAGCTCTTTGGTGGTCTAATGGTTTTAAGTCTCCTAAGCCAAGAAATCGCTTTGCATACGTTGGCTACATGGCTGGAGATGCAATATGAAGAAAAAGAATAGCCCATTAAATTATGTAGCTGTAATTTGGATATAAAATTTTAGTATAAGATAAGCTGGCATAGCTGTAAAATCATGTACACACCTACAATACACAAACAATTTCCAAACAGCTC